AAGTAGAGGTACGTCGAATGACTAAGCTAGGCTTTTAAGTTTGTAATATTACCATTAGATCCGCTTAGCCGCAAACAATTACATCATTTATGTTAATAAACACCGATAAATATAATTAAGTACACATTTCAATGATATCCACTTACATTAAATATAATCTATTACTATATCACTGCACATTAATTAAGTTTTATGTCAAAGTTTACACAAACACAATAGAGCTTTTAAGATCTTTAGATAACTACTATTGCGAATAAATCATTTATGTTATTTAATTAATAGATGAGTAATCTACATAAATTGAATTATATTTTTTTTAATGTGTAACTTTGTAGGTAATCCAATTTCGATAAAATCTTTTGCAGAATTTTGGGTTTAAATCGCAGTCCACGAAGCTACGGTTGGTAAGTTTTGCCAACTATAGTTAAGATGTTGTATAATCTAAATTTTAGATATTATAATATATAAAAATAAATACCGAAGGTGTCGAAACGTGGTCTGGAAGATGACACCATATGGTAGTCATGAGGCGGATCCAAAGCATGCCTGAACACACAACACAATTAGTTAGTATTGGTCTAAGATCCGCTATACAACGACCCTCACCGAGATGCTTATTTAATGAAACGTATTTTATATTAAATTTAATGTGTCAATAAATATAATCCATATGGGTTGTCTAGCAAATTTCAGTCCAGAGTATGTTTAATTAATAATTTTAAAAAATATTTTTTTAAACATTTCACCGGTATGATTATTAGATAAATTCTATACCAATCGAAAGTATAAGCATAGAATATGCAAACTTTATGCTGCCCATTCTTTTCCGGTCACAACTATCGGGTTGCCTGGTATAAACAGGTAAATCTGTACTAGCATTTTGAAGGTCTGTTTATTGAATGAAATTTAAATAAATTAAAGATATTTTATTCTGAAAGGTGGTAAGTTGTCTGCGAAAAATCTGTAGAATTGGGTTGTCGAATTTTAAAAAGTAAAGTATTGCTAAAATTATTATGATTTAAAATTATCTTATAATACATCTTCTATATTTCTATATTAAAATATATATTTTATATTTTATTTTCGTAAATTCCATGTGGCTTAATGCAACGGACCCAATATGCGTGAAATTTGAGTCTGAGACCTGGGACGGTTCTTAGATGAATATTTAAAACCAGTAGGATTCATTGGGATATACACCTTTAAAGATAGAAGACATTGTCGAAAAAAGTGAAACAGAAAGTGATACGAAGAAGATTAAGTTGAAGATGAGTTTTATCCTATCTGGATTTGAATAATTAAAAAAATTGTATTTTTAATTTTTTACAATAAATAGAATAATTTTTTAATTTTTTTTTGAAGTTATACTTCTTTAGGCGCGTTATGAAAAATTGATAGAGTGAAATTTTAATGCGCGCGACCTGACACTAAATTATCATATGGGCGCGAGCGGTGCGTGAGCGAGATGGAAATAAGACAATCTACAATAAAAGAAATAGAATATGTTAAGTTAGCAGTAGTAAAATTTTGAATACCATAATGACATTTACCTTTTAAACAAATAAAGGAGTTTTAATTATTTTTTCAAATAAATTTAGGAATCTTTTTCAAAGACCTATTGTTACTTAGTTAAAAGGTTATGAAACATACGTAGTTATTAAATTGAATGAATAATATAATAAAATAATAAATAATTATTAATATTAATTAATAATTGAATAATATACTAAATATTAAATATTATTAACGTTAAATATTTGTTATTAATAATTTAATATTTTAAAAAATAAAGAAAAGCCAAAGAAGTTTACTTCTTACGTACATAAGTACAGATCCTTTTTATTTTGTCTTCTTATAATAAAAATAAAATTTGCAAGATTACCTGATTAAAAAAATTCACTTTTATGGGTTTTGAATTTTTCCAATATTTCAATTGATTTCAATTTTACATTAGATTAAATTAAAGTAAATTTTTAATTTTTTAATCAATATTTTTAATCAGGTATTATTATATATGAATCACTACAACCTTCTTTTTTACTAAAGATGTATATATACTTTATTCACATGAAAAATTTACACATAAATAATTAATTGATTAAAAAAAAATTAAATAACTATTTCTCTATTTAAAAATAACTACTCCAAAATGATGCATAATTAAGATCCATGTATCCTTTTCTTTTCCAAGCCCAAATAGATGCACTTCATTCTTTAAGTGGGCGGACTTTTAACAGCTGTATGTGTTCCTCTTCATCATGATTGTTGGGACCTCTCATGACAATACTTGGACAATATTTTACTTTTTAAAATTCGACAACCGCAATTTGACTGATTTTTCGAGACAACCCTATACCACCGTTTCAGAATAAAATAATTTTAATTTCATTTAAATTTCATTCAAAAACAGACCGTTGCAAAATGCTAGTACAGATTTACCTGTTTATACCAGGCAACCGATATTGTGACGGAAAAGAATGGGCAGATAAAGTTTGATATTCTATGGGCTTCATACTTTGATTGGTATAGAATTTATCTAATAATATACCGGTGAAATTTTAAAAAAATATTTTTTTAAAATTATTAATTAAACATACTCTGGACTGAAATTTGTAGACAACCCATATGGATTAATTTATTGACAATTAAATTTAATAAAATACTTTCATTAAATAAGCATCTCGGTGTTGGTCTTATATATATAGCATAAATTAAGAAGACTCTCTAATTCGATTTAATCTGCGAACACAGATTTTAGAATTCCCATTATTTTTAAAAACAATAATTATAAAATCGATCTTTTTTTTTTTAATGGCTCTGGCACGGTTTGTGCATTAGCCAACGTCAAGTATAAGATTTTTATAATTCGTGCTTTTTGCCTAAGAAATTCGACCATGTCCACCATGTACGGTTTAGGTACTCGCCCGGTACCGCACAACCCTCCCAAAGGCCGAGAACAAATTTTAAATTAAATTAAAACTTGCCCTAGAACCGGGAATCGAACCCGGTACCCCTCACGTAGCTGCCACTTAATAAGACCGCTAGGCTATGAGGCCCCCGCAAAATTGATCTTGATGTTATAAGTAGATAATATTTTTAAAAAAAAATTTTTTTTTTTTTAATTTTATGGCCTGGTAACGAGAAAACCTTTAAGCTAAGTCTAACGGTGTTGTTTTTGGCGCCCATTCATAAACTAATAATGCAGACTATCCAAAAAAAATTTGTTTGTCTGTAAAGTCGGCTTACGGACAATAATTTTACGTGATAATGTCATAACAAAATATTGATGAAAAATTGCGTACTTTAATAAATTGAATTGAATTATTATCACTAAATTATGATTTTTTTGTATCAAAGGAGTTAACTGAAAATATATTTTTTTTTCGATAAATTAACATCTAATAACAACAACAACCCGTTAGTTCAGTATTTTTTTTAAATAATCTATAAAAATAAAATTAATAGAGTCTGAATATCCGTACAGTACCATTTTCATAGACTAAATGTTACCAATTACACTCACTCAATAGCAATTAGGTAAATTATTATTTTCAATAATAGATAGGGTTTCGACTTGATACTAAAGTAAGTAAATTTTAACGTCAGTATATATGATGACAAAAAAAAATATTTACAATTTAATTTCCCGCCTAAGCAGACAATTGTCAGAGACTGACATTTGACAGAAAAGTGACAAAGTCACGTTTTGTCACGTGACCTTTTTCATTCAAATTCGTTTCAAAAAATGTTTTTTTCTCACGCCAATGATAAGTTAAATTACGAGATTAGATTAGAATTTGAGAAAAGCTTCTGATGAGTTAGCAAACGGGAACTCCGTTTCTATTACATAAAAAAGAGTATATACATCAAACGTCTAGCTACCTATCGTAAATACTTACAATAAATGATGATGTTAAACCACATCCTCGTTTAGTATTGATCTGGTAAATGATAATATCCGATGCGTTCATGTTGTGATTAATAACTAATGTGTAGTAATAACTACAACGTATTAGCAACATTTGGTTCACGCTTGATAGACTTAATAGAATTCTTGATCTTTAAAATCGGTGATCCTTTAATTGACATGCTTTTTTTGTACGTGTGTTGACAAACCATCTTAGATATACACTCTCCGTGTAAACGTTAATAAAATTTGTTTTAAAGGATGTAACCTATTTCTTGCTTAATGTGCTGTGTCATGAATTATAATCAACGAAAGTTTAGAAGATATTGAGCGTTTTGATAGAAACCAAAGTTGTCGTATGATTCAGTTACAAAACCTGATTTAATCGATGTCTATGCTTAAGTGGGATCTGTTTATTCTATTTGATATTTGACAGTGCTATTTGACAAGATTGTAAAAACCATTTCAGATTATTTATTAGTGACTATGGAATCTTTATATACTAGGTATACTTTAAAAATTCAAATGTATCATTAAGAACCCGCCAAAACGCTTTACTTTCAAGATGGCGTCGCACCAGTTCCTATGATGTAACGTACTTGTACACGTAAACAAATGTCAAGTTTTTGTGTTTAGGATTCTGCGATTTGTGTTCAATTTTAAAAGTGATTTTTGTGTGAAATATAACAAATGGTAATCAGTACATATATATATATAAATGCATCGTTTTAAAGTGTTTTCTTTAAACATTTCCATTACGCATTAAGCATGGTACGACATCTTCGATTCGACTTATGTCACGTGACTAATGTATAAAGATAAATATTTTTTAATTATGGATTTTAGATATTTTAATAATTATTTATAAGTTATCTTACTCCATAACGCTTTTTAAAGTATTTTTTCATACTGTTAAATGAATTAATTAATTATTGAAAATTTCTCTTGTATTACGAATATACCTATTGATTATTTATGTTCCACGTCTTTCAACATAACCCATGTTTAGATTTTATATCCTGCCTTTGGTAACCTAGAGTCGCTTAGAGTCTAACTAGTTCTAACGACGTACAGTTGTGCAATTGTTATTAGAATGATATTTAAAAAGCTAATACCGAGTAAGTAATTTAAAAAATTGTTTTTTATAAGTAATGGGTTTGATATCTCATATTTGTTACAGGTTTAATAATTTTAGTGATAGCAGAAGAAGTATGGACCCACGTTGAAATAGAAGCCGAAGATTACTTCTTTCCATTAGAACCAGTAAGTACAGTCTTTAAAATCAATAAATCAGTGGCGCTACAACCTTTTTAAGTCTGGGTCCCAGATTCAGTATTTGTGTCATGATCAAGTAAGATAATCCAGTTCCTGACACAAGCTAAGGTCTAAGGGTCTAAGGCAAGCCTCAAGCAATTTTTCTCACGATGTTTTCCGTCACCGGTCGAGCGAATATTAAATGCGCACGTAGAATTAAAAAATAAAAATGACTTTATTTGACGCAGAAACAATTACATTTTGTTCTTACATTCAAAATAGAAAGACAGTCCTTTAGCTCAAAGCCGGGGATCGAACCTAAGACCTCAGTGATGAGAGTCGCACACTGAAGCCACTAGGCCAATACTGCTGTAGTACAGTTTTTAACCGACTAAATAAGCCGAAGGAGGTAATCAATGAATCGTGTAGTTTTTTTAAAGCATTAATCATGATGCCTCTTTATTATTTTAAGAATTATTATGAAGTTCGTAACATATGCAATTCAATCACTGGATACGTACCACTATATATGTTTAAATAATGAATTAAAACTAATAAGTTGTAATAGGACTTGATTATACAAGTATTATCAAAGGGCTAAAGTCAAATAAAAATAATAAAAGAACGCAAAACGCGCTATTTTAAGATTATTATTATAAGACTATTTATTAAATTATTTTACGCTTGAATAAAAAATCTGGAACTTCATAGGAAAACGTAGTAATACATGATTAGTACATAGATGTTGGTACAAGTATAATTGAAGCTAGTATTACCTAAGCAAACAAACGATTCTTATCATGAAAGTAATTTCTAAACAAATTATTTGTAATTTCTCTATTTTGTTTCTGTTTTCTATTCGTAATTGTCATGAGAACAATAGCGCAAAGGCGTTCAAGCTATTTCCTCTATTGAGATATTGTAATTTATAGTATTTGTAACGAAAATTTGTCTACCAGGTAATAAATTTCTGCAAAATGGCCGACCAGTGTCAGCATGACTTTGTGGCAATTTGCGGGCAAGATTCTTTAGGTATTTCTAGAATGTTCAACGACAACTGCGATCTATATGAGTACAACTGTGATGAGAAGAAACGTAAGTATCCGATTCTAAGTTATTAATGTTATTTATAACGTTTCAATATATTAATTAATCTACTTAATTAATTTCAACACACAAATATACAGTATTTACAATTGTTTTAACCTAAATAGTAAGAATAATAATAATTAAACAATAATATATAGAAAATTAAAACAAATTTATTCTTTACTGTACCACCAGTCTCTTTGCAAGAGACGACACGGTATTTGCACGGGACGAAAAGATTTTGTATCTAGTACCCCTTTTTCCCTCTACAAGACGGTCCTAGCACAGTTATGATGTGAAGTAGGGAGAGATTAAAGCGATTGAGATATCAGCAAACATGTTCCTTAATAACACATAGATTTGATACCAATTTTTTTTATATCCGAGGTGGAAATGCATTTGCGCATGCCCCCAGAAAATGCAGGGGTGTGTGGGACTCGATCCTCATCAGAATCTCTAGTACAGAGACTGGGTGAGCAATACCCACTAAAACCACCTCGAGTAGTTCCTTCAAGGCCGCGTTACAGAGGCTCCGGGGTCGCTCTCTCATTCTACCGGAGCCTCAACGGCAGAACTGTTACGCTCGCAACCTCCGCTGCACTATACACTAGGTAGGATATGGGCATATCTTCCCCTATTTACTCCCCGAGGTTTGAGACCTAGGAGAAATGTGATTTAATTTAAATTATTTTATATGGTATTAAAATTACATTGGTATAAAAATGAACTGTACCACTGATTATTACGTGGGTACACAAAAGACACTTAGAATTTATTTCACGTTTGTATTATAACTAAAACTCTAAGATCTCTTTTTTTATTAATTCCAGAATACCGCCACGTAAAGCTAGATGTGTGCAAGTATGAAGCAGCCGCTTCTGAGAGGGCACAGTATAGTTAAAGTAGTTCCATGGCTTTTGTTAATTGCAAATAAATTCTATTATAATATAACTGACGTACAATCCAGCTAACACAAGATCATGCAATACTCTTTTTCTTCCTAACTCTAAGTAAGTGCTAAATAATACTATGTCTTTCCTATGGAATACACGTATTTTCTAAAGCAAAGATAATCTTGGAAAGATATTGTCTAGAAAAGATACACGTTTTTAGAAAATATCTTTCGAAGTAGAGAAGTGGTTAATTTTCATATTTTTTTTAATTTTGTTAAATCTGGATGTAAATATAGTATTTAGTTTTTTTCATTTCACCTTCTCTGTAACATTTAGAATTATTAATATGCAGTGTAAATAAAATTATAAATGAATCTAGTAAAGTCTAATTATGTAAATAAGCAAAAAGACTCCAATAAAATTTACCCCAAATGAAACGAAAACATTCATTTCTTTATTTTTATTAGTGTTTTAAGTACATATTATGAAGTCTCCAGTATTTGTCATCACGAGTAACTACCACACATTCCTAGTACCCTAGTCTTAGTATTTGCGTCAAACATTTACTTAGTAATCTTGCCAATGTTACAAAATCTTCGTATTTTTTAATACTCGCTGCTGTGTTACATGTGAATTCCTGTGGCTTCACAGAATTTCTGCATTAACCAATGTAAAAAATAGCCATACATTTCTTATTTAAAGTCCCATTTATAATTAACAATAATTATTATTAAATAAAAGCTTTGTTAGCTGATGTGCTGAATGTGCAATATTTAGTTAAGTATGCTTTTTAATCAAAATTAGGTACACGAATATGTATATGATTTTTTTTCGAAATAAACTCTGTGCTTATGTAGTTTAAAATTATACAAAATGCAGATGATCCTAGCTGTTAAATTCCTTCCGTGAAAACTTATACAATTTTCCTGACGTCATTCTCGAAAGACGATATCTTGAGCTGGCACCCAATAATTCTCAAACGGGTCGTTATAGATAGGCTCGGCTCCATTACCCGTACAATACTCAATTAATGGCTCAGTGGAAAATATTTGCTGTGAAATGGTCGGAAGATCAACTTGTTTATTAATGCCTGGCAAATTAATCGAGGAAGCGGTTTTGAATAATTCCATGAAATCTGTTACATAAATCGGAATATTAGCGTTGTATCCGTTGATTTTCTGCCACGTGGTTTTTATGATAAAGCACTTTCAATGTAACGATGCAAAAAAAAAAAAAAAAAAAAAAAAAAAAAAAAAAAAAAAAAAAAAAAAAAAAAAAAAAAAAAAAAAAAGGAAAAAAAAAAAAAAAAAAAAAAAAAAAAAAAAAGGGGGGGGGGGGAAAAAAAGGGGGGAGAAAAAAAAAAAAAAGGGAGGAGGGAAAAAAGGGGGGGGGGGGGGGGGGGGGGGGGGGGGGGGGGGGGGGGGGGGGGGGGGGGCGGGCCGGGGGGGGGGCGGGCGGCGGGGGGGGGGCGGGGCGGCCCCCCCGGGGGCCCCGGCGCCCCCCCCCGCGCCCCCCGCCCCCCCCCCCCCGGGGGGGCGGCCCCCCCCCGCCCGCCCCCCCCCCGCCCCCGGCCCCCGCCGGCGGGGGCCGCGGGGGGGGGGGGGGGGGGGGGGGGGGGCGCCCCCCGGGGGCCGGGGCGGGGGGGGGGCGGGGGGGGGGCCCCCGCGGCGGGGGGGGGGGGGGGGGGGGGGGGCCCGGGGGCCCCCCCCCGGGCGCCCCCCCCCCCCCCCCGGGCCCCCCCCGCCCGGGGCCGGGGCGGGGGGGGGGGCCGGGGGGGGGGGCGGGGGGGGGGGCGCCCCGCGCGGGGGGGCGCGCCGGGGGCGGGGGGGGGGGGCGGGGGGGGGGGCGGCCCCCCCCCCCGGCCCCCCGCCCCCCGGGGGGGCCGCGGGCCGCGGGCCGGCCCCCGGGGGGGGGGGGGGGGGGGGCCCCGGCGGGGGCCCCCCCCGGGGGGGGGGGGGGGGGGGGGCCGGGGGGGGGGGCGGGGGGGGGGGGGGGGGGGGGGGGGGGGGGGGGGGGGGGGGGGGGGGGGGGGGGGGGGGGGGGGGGGCGGGGGGGGGGCCGCGGGGGGGGGGGGGGGGGGGGGGGGGGGGGGGGGGGGGGGGGGGGGGGGGCCGCCCCGGGGGGGGGGGCCCCCCGCCGGGGGGGGGGGGGCGGGGCGGGGGGGGGGGCCCCCCCGGGCGGGGCGCGGGGGGGCCCCCGGGGGGCCCCCCCGGGGGGGGGGGGGGGGGGGGGGCGGGCCCCGGGCCCCCCCCCCCCGGGGGCCGGGGGGGGGGGGCGGGGGGGGGGGGGGGGGGGGGGGGGGGGGGGGGGGGGGGGGGGGGGGGGGGGGGGGGGGGGGGGGGGGGGGGGGGGGGGGGGGGGGGGGGGGGGGGGGGGGGGGGGGGGGGGGGGGGGGGGGGGGGGGGGGGGGGGGGGGGGGGGGGGGGGGGGGGGGGGGGGGGGGGGGGGGGGGGGGGGGGGGGGGGGGGGGGGGGGGGGGGGGGGGGGGGGGGGGGGGGGGGGGGGGGGGGGGGGGGGGGGGGGGGGGGGGGGGGGGGGGGGGGGGGGGGGGGGGGGGGGGGGGGGGGGGGGGGGGGGGGGGGGGGGGGGGGGGGGGGGGGGGGGGGGGGGGGGGGGGGGGGGGGGGGGGGGGGGGGGGGGGGGGGGGGGGGGGGGGGGGGGGGGGGGGGGGGGGGGGGGGGGGGCGGGGGGGGGGGGGGGGGGGGGGGGGGGGGGGGGGGGGGGGGGGGGGGGGGGGGGGGGGGGGGGGGGGGGGGGGGGGGGGGGGGGGGGGGGGGGGGGGGGGGGGGGGGGGGGGGGGGGGGGGGGGGGGGGGGGGGGGGGGGGGGGGGGGCCCCCCCCGGGGGGGGGGGGGGGGGGGGGGGGGGGGGGGGGGGGGGGGCCCCCCCCCCCCCGGGGGGGGGGGGGGGGGGGGGGGGGGGGGGGGGGGGGGGGGGGGGGGGGGGGGGGGGGGGGGGGGGGGGGGGGGGGGGGGGGGGGGGGGGGGGGGGGGGGGGGGGGGGGGGGGGGGGGGGGGGGGGGGGGGGGGGGGGGGGGGGGGGGGGGGGGGGGGGGGGGGGGGGGGGGGGGGGGGGGGGGGGGGGGGGGGGGGGGGGGGGGGGGGGGGGGGGGGGGGGGGGGGGGGGGGGGGGGGGGGGGGGGGGGGGGGGGGGGGGGGGGGGGGGGGGGGGGGGGGGGGGGGGGGGGGGGGGGGGGGGGGGGGGGGGGGGGGGGGGGGGGGGGGGGGGGGGGGGGGGGGGGGGGGGGGGGGGGGGGGGGGGGGGGGGGGGGGGGGGGGGGGGGGGGGGGGGGGGGGGGGGGGGGGGGGGGGGGGGGGGGGGGGGGGGGGGGGGGGGGGGGGGGGGGGGGGGGGGGGGGGGGGGGGGGGGGGGGGGGGGGGGGGGGGGGGGGGGGGGGGGGGGGGGGGGGGGGGGGGGGGGGGGGGGGGGGGGGGGGGGGGGGGGGGGGGGGGGGGGGGGGGGGGGGGGGGGGGGGGGGGGGGGGGGGGGGGGGGGGGGGGGGGGGGGGGGGGGGGGGGGGGGGGGGGGGGGGGGGGGGGGGGGGGGGGGGGGGGGGGGGGGGGGGGGGGGGGGGGGGGGGGGGGGGGGGGGGGGGGGGGGGGGGGGGGGGGGGGGGGGGGGGGGGGGGGGGGGGGGGGGGGGGGGGGGGGCCGGGGGGGGGGGGGGGGGGGGGGGGGGGGGGGCCCCCCCCCCCCCCCGGGGGGGGGGGGGGGGGGGGGGGGGGGGGGGGGGGGGGGGGGGGGGGGGGGGGGGGGGGGGGGGGGGGGGGGGGGGGGGGGGGGGGGGGGGGGGGGGGGGGGGGGGGGGGGGGGGGGGGGGGGGGGGGGGGGGGGGGGGGGGGGGGGGGGGGGGGGGGGGGGGGGGGGGGGGGGGGGGGGGGGGGGGGCGGGGGGGGGGGGGGGGGGGGGGGGGGGGGGGGGGGGGGGGGGGGGGGGGGGGGGGGGGGGGGGGGGGGGGGGGGGGGGGGGGGGGGGGGGGGGGGGGGGGGGGGGGGGGGGGGGGGGGGGGGGGGGGGGGGGGGGGGGGGGGGGGGGGGGGGGGGGGGGGGGGGGGGGGGGGGGGGGGGGGGGGGGGGGGGGGGGGGGGGGGGGGGGGGGGGGGGGGGGGGGGGGGGGGGGGGGGGGGGGGGGGGGGGGGGGGGCGGCCCCCCCCGGGGGGGGGGGGGGGGGGGGGGGGGGGGGGGGGGGGGGGGGGGGGGGGGGGGGGGGGGGGGGGGGGGGGGGGGGGGGGGGGGGGGGGGGGGGGGGGGGGGGCCCCCCCCGCCCGCCCCCCCCCCCCCGGGGGCCCCCCCCCCCCCCCCCCCGGCCCCCCCGGGCTGCCCCCGGGGGGGGGGGGGGGGGGGGGGGGGGGGGGGGGGGGGGGGGGGGGGGGCCCCGGGGGGGGGGGGGGGGGGGGGCGGCCCGGGGGGCGGGGGGGGGGGGGGGGGGGGGGGGGGGGGGGGGGGGGGGGGGGGGGGGGGGGGGGGGGGGGGGGGGGGGGGGGGGGGGGGGGGGGGGGGGGGGGGGGGGGGGGGGGGGGGGGGGGGGGGGGGGGGGGGGGGGGGGGGGGGGGGGGGGGGGGGGGGGGGGGGGGGGGGGGGGGGGGGGGGGGGGGGGGGGGGGGGGGGGGGGGGGGGGCCCCGGGCGGGGGGGCGGGGGGGGTTTGGGGGGGGGGGGGGGGGCCCCCGGGGGGGGGGGGGGGGGGGGGGGGGGGGGGGGGGGGGGGGGGGGGGGGGGGGTTGGGGGGTGGGGGGGGGGGGGGGGGGGGGGGGGGGGGGGGGGGGGGGGGGGGGGGGGGGGGGGGGGGGGGGGGGGGGGGGGGGGGGGGGGGGGGGGGGGGGGGGGGGGGGGGGGGGGGGGGGGGGGGGGGGGGGGGGGGGGGGGGGGGGGGGGGGGGGGGGGGGGGGGGGGGGGGGGGGGGGGGGGGGGGGGGGGGGGGGGGGGGGGGGGGGGGGGGGGGGGGGGGGGGGGGGGGGGGGGGGGGGGGGGGGGGGGGGGGGGGGGGGGGGGGGGGGGGGGGGCCGGCGCCCCGGGGGGTTTTTTTTTCCCCCTTTTCCCCCCGGGGGGGGTTTTGGGGGGGGGGGGGGGGGGGGGGGGGGGGGGGGGGGGGGGGGGGGGGGGGGGGGGGGGGGGGGGGGGGGGGGGGGGGGGGGGGGGGGGGGGGGGGGGGGGGGGGGGGGGGCGGGGGGGGGGGTTGGGGGGGGGGGGGGGGGGGGGGGGGGGGTTTGTTTTGGGGGGGGGGGGGGGGGGGGTGTGGGGGGGGGGGGGGGGGGGGGGGGGGGGGGGGGGGGGGGGGGGGGGGGGGCCCGGGGGGTCCCCCGTTTGGCCCTCTTCCCCGGCGGGCCCCTTTTTCGGGGGGGCCCTTTTTGGGGGGGGGTGGTGGGGGGGGTGGGGGGGGGGGGTGGGGGGGGGGGGGGGGGGGGGGGGGGTGGGGGGGGGGGTGGGGGGGGGGGGGGGGTTGGGGTTTTTTGGGGGGGGGTGGGGGGGGGGGGTGTTTTTTTTTTGGGTTTGTTGGGGGTTTTGTGGGGTGGGGGGTGGGGGGGGGGGGGGGGGGGGGGGGGGGGGGGGGGGCGGGGGGGGGGGGGGGGGGGGGTGGCGGGGGGGGGGTTTGGGGGGGTGGTTGGGGGGGGGTTGGGGGGTGTTTTGGGGGGGGTTTTTGGGGGGGGGGGGGGGGGGTTGTGGGGGGTGGGGGGGGGGGTGGGGGGGGGGGGGGGGGGGGGGGGGGGGGGGGGGGGGGGGGGGGGGGGGGGGGGTGGTTTTTTTTTCTTTTCTTGTTTTTTTTTTTTTTTGGGGGGGGGGGGGGGTGGGGGGGGGGGGGGGTTTGGGGGTGGGGGGGGGGGGGGGGTGGGGTGGGGGGGGGGGGGGGGTTTGGGGGGGGGGGGGGGGGGGGGGGGGGGGGGGGGGGGGGGGGGCGTGCGTGGGGGGGGGGTTTCCCCTGGGGGGGGGGGGGGGGTTGGGGGGGGGGGGGGGGGGGGGGGGGGGTTTTTGCGGGGGAGGGTTTTTTTTTTGTGGGGGGGCGGGGGGGGGCCAGGGGGGGGTTAAGGACCGGGAGGGGGGGGGGGGGGGGGGGGGGGGGGGGGGGGGGGGGGGGGGGGGGGGGGGGTGGGGGGGGGGTGGTTCCTTTCGGGGGGGGGGGGGGGGGGGGGGGGGGGGGGGGTTGGTTGGGGGGGGGTGGGGGGGGGGTGGGGGGGGGGTGGGGGGGGGGGGGGGGGGGGGGGGGGGGTGGGTGGGGGTGGGTGGTGGGGGGGGGGGGGGCGGGGGAGGGGCCCCCGCCCCCGGTGGGGGGGGGGGGGGGGGGGGGGGGCCCCCCCCTATTTTTTTTTGTGGTGGGGGGGGGGGGGGGGGGGGGGGGGTGGTTTGTTGGGGGGGGGGGGGGGGGGGGGGGGGGGGGGGGGGGGGGGGGGCGCCCTTGGGTTTTGGTTGGGGGGGGGGGGGGGGGGGGGGGGGCTCCTGGCGGGGCGGGGGGGGGGGGGGGGGGGGGGGGGGGGGGGGGGGGGGGGGGGGGGGGGGGGGGGGTTTTTTGGGGGGGGGCCGCCGGGGCGGGGGGGGGGGGGGGGGGGGGGGGGCCGGGGGGGGGGGGGGGGGGGGGGGGGGGGGGGGGGGGGGGGGGGGGGGGGGGGGGGGGGGGGGGGGGGGGGGGGGGGGGGTGGTGGGGGTGGGGGGGGGGGGGGGGGGGGGGGGGGGGGGGGGGGGGGGGGGGGGGGGGGTGGGGGGGTTGGGGTTGGGTGGTTTTGGGTGGGGGTTTTGTGTAGTGGGGTTTGGGGTGGGGGGGGGGGGGGGGGGGGGGGGGAAGGGTGGGGGGGGGAAGGTGGGGGAATGGGGGGGGGGGGGGGGGGGGGGGGGGGGGGGGGGGGGGGGGGGGGGGGGGGGGGGGGGGGGGGGGGGGGGGGGGGGGGGGGGGGGGGGGGGGGGGGGGGGGGGGGTGGGGGGGGGGGGGGTGGGCACAAGGGGGTGCTAGGTTAATTCATGCTCTGGTCAATTTCTGGTATTCGTTGGTGTTGGACGTATAAACGTCTGATCTCTTTTTCAATAAAAATAATTATTAGTAAAACATTCCGTAATGTGTGTGGGCCGTGGGCCAACACGTCTATCGCAAGTATTATTCAGTGTGTTCAACATAGGTTCAAGGCTTACAATACTGCAGCAAAAGGCTATTGGGCAAATTTAGGTTGTAGTATTCCAAAACACTTAACAGTAAAAAAGAGTAATTCCGCTCGTGGAACTGAACCTACTTCAAGTCCTTCCTTGATTATTAGAAATCATAATTTTATTTCTTTATTTCTTTAGCAGTTATTATAAGAATCATTGTCTAGCAAATAAGGTTTCTTCAGGGAGCGCTTTTCTGCAGTAATAAAAGCATTATATTTAAAGGAAACAAATTTCCTGGTTGCCTTATTTAAACAGATGTTGCGCGCACCCGTCCGACCGATTACCATGTAAGTGATAATGCGAGCCGAAATTTGTCTGAAACCGACAGGGTGACACTCCTCTTGACAAAGTCACGCTAAATACCCTGATTACTGGCGACAAACTGGTATAGGGTTTGGTCTAGGCGTCCTAAGCTTGGACGATAGATCTATTAATATATTAGTACTTTTATACGCTTAGATACGACAAATATTTGTATGGTAATCGTTGCAATGCAATGGCAAGTACATACGCAAAGAAACAAGAGTTTCAACAATATAATTTCCACTATTTATCAATTGTCCTTATACGTTTTAATTATTGCTAAGAATGAAGTATGAAGACTAAAATTGTAATTAATATATTGTTTAATTTATTTTTATATGCAATTACGATGTCAAAGATATTTGTTATATTTGCGAGAGACTATAAAAAACAAACATTTTAATGAATTAATATGCATCATTTTGAATATCTCAGTTGAGTAAATTTATTTCATAAGATATCACTTCATACCGAACCAATAAGACTCATATTATACTACTATGACAATATTGACGTATATTTGTGACGTCGAACAGATTGCTCTCCTCGAAACTATTTAAACATGGCAACAAATATCAAAGTCGGCGTCTTTTTTTAAATATTGACACTTCAAATGGAAATGTTATGTCAAATTTGTTACGGTAGCCGCGTGGCTACTTTAAAATAATATAATTTGTTAATACAGAAAATTGATAGTTAAAATGCGTTATATCAATAACTCTTAATTTTAAAAACACAAGGACCGTTAAAAATACATCCATTGGTTACCGAAAGCTAATTATATTATTCGTTTAATTTTATTTAACTTTACAAGCTAGCAATTGGCAGGAGGTGGTACAGACTACAGAACAGGGAGCGTTGAAAGTTTCTCGTTTCGGTGACCAAGATACATTTTGGCTGCGACCCAAAAAGTATCTTGGTCCCAGTGTGTAAAGTAACTAGAACAACCATTACCTAACTAGAACAACACAATAAAACTTGATGTATGTATGTATTAGTTTTTTTCATCGCATCATGGGATTTTGTTTAATTAAACCTGAAATAAATCTGTCCGCTTGCTGTTTTTAATACTAAATTTGTATATGGAATATAAATGTGTAGCGGGCATCTAACACAGGCCAGTGGAATTACAAGTTTTTATTATGAAGCAGATTCATAAATATTTGAGTTAAATACGGAGCAAAACGCTAGCGATACGTAAATACGACGTCTTGTTAACCTAAAAAGTTAACAAGGATCGGCCAGCACTTAGCCAAGACACGCTAATTTTGTGGACAAAGCTTAGATTTATTTACTGCGCCTAGTTGTGGGTTAGCCGGACTAATTGTGAATAGAATGTCAGTTGACTTAACTTTGACCTTCGAACATCACCTACGGTTGCATTCTTCAAACTGTTTACCTTTGATTAAGAGGACCTTAAATATGTCAAAGTATCTGACGCCAAGAGACAAGAATTTTAATTTTTGTATTAGGAGGAACTTGAATTTTTATATTCTTCATGTGCGCTTTTTCTTTTTCATTATTGCTGCTTTTTCTGTTTACAGATGTTTAAATTTCTTTGCTTTGGTCCATTTGTTTTGTCTAAGTAATTTTATGTCTTTTGTCTAGAAAAAATACACGTGTTGCACTTCTTGCGCTCACCTTATCTTATTTAATTTTGTTTTTCTCACAATGATGGCCTGAAAGAGATCTCTCGGAAGCAATAGGGCCGCTAGTTGTCCTTTTTATTATATATTTTAATTGTGCTAATAGTGTTAGTCTCTTGCCAGAAAGGACAACGATTTGATATTTTTTAGTAAGAGAACGAGCCTTTTGTGAATCATAGAGCAATATATATATAATATATTACCTGGAAATATAAATATATGAATAATATACACATATATAATGTAATATACACTGTATTTTTATGACAAATTTGTAATATAAAGTCTAAACAAACCAGTGATGGTGTGTGAATGAGTGAATTGTCTACGGACGATAAGTACATCCATTGAAACTTATGTTGTATTACAATGTTGATTCTTATAAGAGCTCATCATCTATTTGAATTGTGCAAATAAATGACAGAATTAAAAAAAAAAAAACTATCGCTTTTGTGGTCTTGCATTACTACGCTTTTCGTATTGTGACTGTACTGTTACATGCTATTAAACCTTATTAAAATGAAATAAAATCTTTACCTTTAATTAATATACCTTAATAAAGGCCTTATGCAACGAATAACAAATTATTACAGTTGTTTAATTAATTTAATATTCTTAAAATTAATGAATTATCCCAGTGCGCTGCCTCGGGCTGGAGTTATTCAAAAGCAAAAGTCAGCATTTGTTTAGTTCAGTATTATTGGTTATTGAATTTAAGTACCCATACATAAGCGTTCATTAAATAATAATTTATACAGAAATAAAGTATATTTGAAACGTTGCTTTATTTATAAATGTTTTTTATAGTTACCAATTTAGTATTATATCACTATATATATACTAAGTGTACCTTAGAAGTTTAAGTGTTTTTGGATTCGATTTAGGTATAAATAACAAACAAAGAGACTCATTTTCAATTATAATAATTGATGTGTAAAAAAGGATCTCCACTTTCGATTAGACTTTAATTTATATAATGAGCCGTTGGGACTTCATACGACAAATAATTTTTAGCAATCAACTGAATCTAATGAATCTACTTTCATTTTTATAATCTAAACACTTACAATAATTAATAGGAATAATTACAATAAAAAACATATCGATTTATGTTGCCGGTGAGCTGTGGGGCCAGTCAATTGATTAGTTGGGGGTCTTTGTGCGCCCGCGCCGCCGCTCTGAACAATTTGCTCGCGGCCGACCGCCCTAATTTTAATGGCCTTATAAAATTTATACTTAATGTATTTATCGTATGATGGGTTTGTATGGATTGGAATTTTCTAGTATTTTATGATTGAAAGACAATTAAAAAATACAGAGTTTTAAGGTTCTATAACTATTTAATAGAGGACTAACACGGTGTTAACGTTTACTGATATATTTTCTTTAAGACATGAAAATTACATAATTAACTTCACTTTAGTTTTTCCGTAATTTTAGTTTTACTAGGAAGTTTTCCATATAATTTAATATAGACAAACCACGGAAAAAGCCTTCCGTTTACATGCTGGAGTAAATAAACGTCTTATCCATATAATACGAACATACGCAGCCGTTTAAAAATTGTATTGTTTTATTGTTACATGCATTAAGTGCCGATGTAGAGTCATTACAACAACAAGCTTTAAACAAGGCTCTGGTGATAAAACGAATGTATTGAACTTTTGTCTTCTTTATATGCTTAATTATTTAACTAAGTATTTGGTAGGGATCAGGACTTGCATGCATTTCTCGAAGTTAGATGTAGGGTACATTTAGTTGATTTAGAATTTTGATAGAAGTTTACCCGTGAACAACTAACACGTGAAATCTTAAGTATATGATAGTATTATAATTCTATCTCGTGATATTGATTTTATTCTGTGATAAGAAACACGACTACTCTACACATAATAAAGAATTATTTTACACAATAACACATCAAAGACATATATAATATACTAAAGTGATATAATATACAAAATACCATTATCGTGGCGACCTATACATAAATACCCAAATTATTGGATTATGAAAACCTATCCTCTGATGTTGGATATATTTTTTTGATTGATTGTCTTACAATCCATTGTATAAGGTTATAAAACTTATGGTGAAAGAAGTAATAAGCTTTTATTTGTGGAAATCTTTTCATTGATGAAGTGAAGTACGTGCGACAAACCCCGGACCTACCTCACGAGTGCGCAATACGTAATCGATGCCGAATACAGGCATCGCGCACGCGCACTCGTCCTTGTATATTCAGGTGGAAAAGGTTTTATTACTGATTTATTTATGAAGTTATATGTCAAATAATATTCCCACCAGAAAGCTGGGAAGATGAATGAACTGAGATAGCGGGGTAAGATTGGAAAAAAGTAAGAACATAAGAAGTAAGACAGTAAAAGAATAAGTGGAAGAATTTGGAGGACGCCTTCACTACGTTGGAGGTCGTGCGTATTAAATACTGTAATCCTTATTTTAGTACTGGAATATAGGCTATTTTCATTTTCTTTATTAATATTATTATGTGATTATGCGTTTACCAAATTAATTTTGCTAAGTCAGAGTGGAAGTAAAGTGAAACAGTCCAAGTGTTGTGTCATTAAATAATACCTGTGTCTCATGCTCATTTGATTAAAATAAAGCGATTGGCAGTTATTATTTATTTTGTAACTAAAAACTTCTTTCAGTATACTCGTACTCTGTCTAAAAGCCTACCCGCCTGCATTCCCAAAAGTTACTATCAAAACTAAGTTATACACACAGCAAGCGAGAAAAGCCTGATAAAATTTGCAAGCCATAAAGGTAGATGTATTTACAATTAATTTAGTTACATCACTTACTGCACATATGTATTCAATACGATTAACAGTAATACATTCGTGAAACTGTTAACATTGTGTGCGCGATGTTACTGCGGCCGGCTATTCGTGCTTTGCGGCAAGCGTGATTCTGAAGCTCAGGCGAAAGCTCTTCCTTTCAGTGCTCACTTTCAGCAACATTGTGCCTACGCGTTTACTCTAACAAGTCAAAATGTAAGTACCACCTATTAAAAATTTGTCATATTGAGTAATTAATTAACTGCATAAGGTTTTTGTTTAAACAGTATGTTACTACTTCTAATTAACTGTTAACTATATCTATTAATCAACCCTCGATTCGTCCGTGAAAATGTAAATAAATGTATATATACATAATTTTATTTTTAGTATAACCCTTTTTTTTTAATTATTAAATTGTCATTTATGGTTTTAATTCAGTCGCTGCAGTAAAGTTAAAGTCGTAGTTTTTTAATTTTACATTTCATTTTAATATCCTTATTATAAAATTCATTAGAAATAGTAATAATAAGTAATCTAGTTCGAAATATTCCGAGGCTTATTGACTTGTTCGTCATATGCACGAAAAATAGGACAGATAACCTTGGTACTCTGCAACTAGCTTTTGTAAACAAGAAATGCCGCATTATGTTGGACTGTGGCAGTGTGCCAGTTGCTATTGATTGATATACTTTTATCATGACATTGTCATTGAACGGAAAACGTGTTGATAACAGCTTTTAGTAATGACATATTCGGAAATTTAAAGAAATTATCTAAATGCAAATAAATAATTAAAGAATAAGTTAGAATATTTAGTTTATTTTATTTATTAACACTTCGTTGCATTAACGTAATAAAAATTTAACACAATTAAATGAAAAGGAGGGCAACTGGCGGCCTTCTTCCAGGCAATCACTGTGACAAATAGTAATAGGAAAAGTATGTATTAAATTAGATATGGTAAGCAAGTAATTTGTCGTAGTTAAAGATAGGTAAGAATTATTTCTAGGTTTGTTGGTAACATCTAACTACCCAGAAATAATTCAATCCGTGATTTTGTAGAGATAGAGGGAGATAGAGGGAGATAGAGAGGGGTTAAGAAAGTCTTGGTTACGATTTCTGGAAAAAAAGTTGTTTAGGATTGGACTCACATAACACATACACATAAAATAAATATCACTGGTCTACTGACCCCATTTGGCGACGTGAAGTCCCCACTTATGTAACACCTTTATAAACATTAATAGGGCGGAAGAAGGAGGTACACAAGATGGGCTGGCGCCACCACAAACTGAGACTGGAGCTGATGGAGAGATTGTTGGAGGGCCACGAACACCCCAGCAAATTGCAGCCCAGAAGAGGCTTCAGCAGCAACAGGCCCAAGTTGATGAGGTATATCACATATTAGATATATTATGAGGTAAGGTAAACAGGTAATAATAATCTACAAGAAAACGTAGTTTCGTAAAAAAGTAGTAGTTGTATTGTAAAGTAGTCTTAAAATTAGTTACTAGAATAGTCAAAATTTTAAAAATTTCAGGTGTGTGAAATAATGAAATCAAACGTTGAAAAAGTACTCGATCGAGACGCAAAGTTATCAGAACTAGATGATAGAGCGAGTAAGTTTAATTGGTTTGATAATCTAAAATGAAATTCGTGTGAAGTAAGAAAATAATATGCCTTTTTTTAGACGCCCTTCAGCAAGGAGCATCCCAATTTGAGCAGCAAGCAAAGAGTTTGAAGAACAAATTTTGGCTTCAGAATTTAAAGGTATTATTATAACGTTTAATCAGTTATATATAATTTTGTCTAATTAATGGGATAATGGAGAATAAAACATTTATTCTAAAAATAAATTTTGAACATCAACCTGTTCTTTGTTTAAAAATTAGTTTTTTTCGTAAGTTACATTGTTATGAATAAATAAAACAATTGATTTTGTTGATTTATCATTTATGATTTTTTATAATATTATTTGTATTAATATTTCAGATGATGATTATCATGGGCGTAATAGGAATTGTGATAATAGGCCTCCTCTTTGGTGAGTTACAGCGTTCGAGTTCAGAATTTATGAAAGCAAAATTTAGTACAATGCAAATAATATGCTTGATTGGACAAATAAGTGTTGTGTATTAAATAGTATAGTAGACGTTATCAATGTATATATCTCAATGTTAGAATTGGCTGAAACCAAAAAACAATATAAAAGCTTTGAAATCTTCTAGCCATCTAAATGCTGTGTGTTTTTCTGTCTCTCTGTGTCTTATTTAATGTGGGCATTAAATTGAACATTAACACATTTAATCGCGTAACGCTTGATATGATTGCCGTTTCAAAAGTAGTTTGTTTTTTAAATCAAGACGATTTGAGCTAAGAGGATCAAATAAGATAAAACGCTCTTTTATTAAAATGAGTCTTTTAAGCAAGCACATCGCTGTAACTAGCTACTATTGTCAATTTTAATTTAACCCTTGTTTGTATATTTTTATGATTTCATATTAAATATTTACATTGTAAATTAATAATATATATTCTTACTGCTAAATATAGTTCATTCGAATAGTTATAGTATTTATTTGATTATAAAATTAATAAGGCCGAAAATATCATTTTACTTGACTTTTAAATTGACAATGGGCGAAGGCTATACTCTTAAACTGCTTTATATCTATAATAAATACATACGCATAATCGCTCACTCAATATTAGCTTGTCGAATTCCGTTTAATGTCTGCATTAGTAAAGATAGCTTGATTAGAAGCTTCGTGGCGTATGTTTTGCTTTACGCTGTTTGCAGGTGATAACATAAAACAAATGTTTGGTTAGTTCGATATCGCGGCACCCCGTCTATGCCCAGCATCACTCCTGTGGCAGCCACCAATGCTACTCTGCCCGTTGCCTCTACTAAGTGTAAGTTCTTTCTTCTCTTCATTTCCATTGAGTTTCATCGTATGTCTGTTGATTCTGAGCAATATACTCTGTGAACAGAATATGGTGTAAAATATTGCATATATCTCTTACAAACGGTAAAAACCTATTAAATTTTGCTGCAAAAAGATTTATTTAAAACTAATCGACTTTTATTGAAGTATTATTAAAATATCAGAAACGAATACTGTACAAGTCTAGTCATGCAACTAGGTTAAATTAGGTTATTATTAAAAAAATCCTTATTCATATTTAATCGTTACTCAACTATTCTAAGGCAACTAAGCTTAGAATTATTAAGCGATTTACATCATACAGAATAAAGCTACTGTTATTGTAAATACATAAATAACAATTAATACTAACAACTTGCGCTATGAATTTTAAGAATGACAGCTAACTTTATAGTCTGTTATTGTAGCACTGTTATCTGTGGTACTTTTACGTAGATATGAAATGAAATCTACCAAATATTTTAATCATAAAATCTGCGAAACTTGAAATCAAGTTTATCACACATTAAAGAATATAAATTAAAGCATGCTGATAGAGAGATCTAAACTACACTTAATATGACAAAAAGTATTTTTAAATTGTTAGCCTTAGGATTTGCTCTCTGCATGACCGCTTTAATTCTCATATGAATGTAAAGCGCATTAAACTGTATAAAATTTAATATTGATGTTGCATGGTCTACTTATAGTACAAAGATTGGATGTCAGTGGTTAGAAATATTTTTTATTAATAGCCGTATTGTTCCCGTCGTAAGTTCATTATTAAATTAGAAAAAACAGACAGTAATAATAGACAGTAACAAATATATTTATTTAAAAGTTATTTGAAATTTATAAATAGTACCCTATAGATAATTTACTTAACATTTTCAGGAAAATACATGTAGAGAATTACGTCAATCTTCAGGTAAGATTATTTAGTGTAAATTTCAATATACCCAATATAGATGTAATTTTAAAATATGTATTTATTCCTATTACATAAAATCTATTAAAATTGTATAGAACTGTATTTACTCTATATAACTTTCTAATAATACTAACGTAGGTTATTTAAATGACAATTGAAAGTCTATTCAATTGTTGTTTAAGGAATAATACTCAATAAAACAATATTAATAAATAACAAAAGTTGAAAATTTCTTCAAAGAGATCTATGACATAGAATACATGTATATTGTATAATGAAGCAGCTCACTGAAGTATATTTTGTCTTCACAGATATATTATGTAGGTTAATTCAACGCCATGAAATGTACCTACCGCTTTCAAATTAAATATTAGGCAAAACGTTGTAAATTGCGCAAATTTTGGCTTAAATGTATCATTCCTTAAATAATAAATAAGTGTTACTATAAATGTTGACCTAATTTTTCACGAACTCATATTAATAAAATATTACTTAGTCACAAATTAATTTACTTCCTTTGAATTTCTGTTTATACTATGAGCTACTCATGTTCTTTTCTTTAATTGCTAAATAATTTATTAAGATTACAGTACAATGGTAATTCAATTTAATTTCGAAAATAAAAATGTGGGGTTAAAGGGCTGGCAAAGACGGTGAAATAATATATACAAATTAATTTCACATGAAATAGATGATTTTATTTACGCTAAACTATTAAGAAATGATTTGCGTGCCTTTATAGCTCTTAATTAATCATATTGATGTTATTCTTAACAATTTTACAAGTCTCTCAAGTGAACCTTAAATTCGTTATTTGTGTAATTTTAGATGACTTAATAATCTTCCTTCTGAGACTATTTTAAATTACTTTATTTGATTTTTATTTGGATCTATTATGTTAAAAGTATTGTGGGAGTTAGAATACCTATTAAGAGGAAGCAACAGAGACGATTCTAAATAACAAAAAAGTTAAGAAATTTAGAAATCGGATTACACTCCAATTTAATTGAGTAATTCTTTAAATTGTTATTTTCTTTTTAACTTTCATAATGAAAATGAAATTGTTATTAAATTATTATTGGTTTAATATACTATTAAACACAATTAAAACTTCTTTTTTCAATATATAATAATAAATAAATTAAATTGAATTCTGATTAATTTAAATGAATTTAGGTTATCTGTAATATATCGGGTCTTAAAATATATTTTACGTAATTAAAATTACTCAGTTCATAACTAATGCTTAAATCATTTGGAGACTTGTAATATTCCATACTCTCTCAGTAAGTTTATTAGATATATAATTCTATATTAAATGTCAATAATCGAAGGGTTTCACTCGGCCTATATATAGTAGACGGAGTCAATTTTAAGTATATATAGTCAAAGTACTCGTATCTATATAAATTACTCTTAAAGTTGACATCCACAACGGGGCAATTTAAAAAAAAGGAATATATTTCATAAAGAGCCTACAAGCTCTGGCGTCGTAAATGTATTTACACGATGAAAGCATTTTTTTGTGACCAGTAGATATGAGCTATATATGTTGTCTTATAAATAAACTTACGAGTACAACACTTTTGATTATATTGTTTACTAATTAGATTGCCATCTATACTTCAGTATATATTAATTTTCAAAATTGATGTTTACAGTGAGGAGAATAAAACTATCCGATAGCGATACGATTGAGCGACAGAAGCGTTGGCTAATTAATATTCCTTTTTTAAATTGTCTCATTTAGCAATTAGGTTTAGGGAAGTTAATTGTAACACCAAGGTAGGGAGAGGTAGAAATTGGTAGGGATCGTGGAATTGATTACGGTAAGACTTACTATGTTACTTTAAAGCTTTAAAATCACGCGTTTCGTCAATTATGTATCAATATAAACTATAATACTATAATTTAACTTATATTAATATTGTAGAATTTTAGAATTAGTTTCAATCTCGTAGCAGGACTACGTTTAATGTTCAAATATACTATAAATATTTAAAATAAACTTAATTGGACTTTAAAGTAATATTTATTTTATTTCTACGTGAAATAAATTGTTTTTTTTTTAATAAGAAATTTGGAAGAAGTCAAAGATACTTTGCCCGGCAAATGTATTCTTAAGCTATATACTTAAGTATGTACAGGAAATGTATGGTGCCATTGACAATATTAGTTCTCTTTACTATTCTAATGATATTATGGATATGTTAAGAAATTTGTTCTTCATGTATGAAAAACTTTAAAATTTAAGACTAATATAGTTATTAAGGGATGCCAATAAAACTATAATCTATGACAACAAATATTTCCTATTATGAGAGATTAATATATTATTTGGTTATTTGAACTATATACTATACTATACTATACTATATAATTGGCTAATAAACCGTACTTTTATTTCTGAAATACCAAAAAATTTGAATTGATGTGTGACATTTATTATCATTATTATTCTGCCATTTTGATGTATTTAGTAACCATACTGTATTTTGTGTTTTACTTAATAAAGATTATGTTATTACAATTAAAATTTTATTTTCAAATTAACGATTTATTACAAATTTCCTACCATAATTTAAAGAAATATACATTATTTTTTAATAAAAATATATTGGCGAGATGAGGCATGGGTTTTCTAAAGTATCGACATGTACTACTATTATGCGGCGTATATTATAAAAATGGTATGTACTGTTATATCATAGTTAAAATATATATATAATACACGACTAAGACTTGAAGAAGCTTTATCGTGACTATCACTTAAGCCAGGGTACTTATAACATTCTAGATTTATATATGTCCTTACACAGTCTACAGAACTGATACAGTATTTTTGGTTACTCAATAATTATTGATTCTATATTATGATACCACCAGTAACACTACCTCGAGTACAAGTTTAACGTGTTAATACACTTTCATATTAAATTGATAAATTTTGTCCTGTCAAATATATCTTACCGTGAATATGTGTCTTAAGTCCTTACATTAAGGTACAATTTATTAGTAACACACAATCCCGTGAGCATGCCATAGACTTAGGAGAATGATGTGAGAGCTTGTGCGCTTTCTCTTTGATAGTTGCCCGCCATTTTGACTTACAGTAATGCTGAGAATGACGTGAATTATGCGCTCATGTCATTGTTTCTTAAGTAATGACGGTAGTACTCGCATTCTAGAAGTAATAGATGAAACAAGCGTATTGAGCTTAAAGTACAACTAATAAGGTTATTAGTAATTTGACTAGTAAATATTTTTACAAAAATATTTCAAATATGACGTTTGACGGAGACATTTAGTAAGAATTTAAATATCACATGACGTGAATATGACTATGTGGTCTGTATTACTCTTACACGTGGTTGAACTAATTATTGTTTCATTTTGTGGGCAAGTTCTGATCAACTGTTGCTTCAACCCAAAATAACAATCCCGTGTACGAGTATTGCATCCGTGTAAACATATCAAATTTGTCAAGCAGTGACAACTGCCCGCACAGCGGTTTATAGATGTGAAGATCTGAATTTTGAAAAATTAATGTTGAACACAAATCATCAAAACAAAGCTTTCAAAAATTTAACCAATTAAGGTTATTCCTAAGTAAGCGTAAGTATTAACTTTGCACAGATTATAAGCTCCATCGTATATCCTGTAGAATAATGTGTAAACATGATATTACACTGAGCAGACACTCAATTATTTTCTCTGTGGGAACTGTCTAGATACAAAGGGGTTTAGTTTCAACTGTTCTTAAATTCCGCTCTGAATCACTTACACTTAACACCTCGTTAGTGTCTCGTATTTTCACCCGTAGTGTTTACATTTAAAATTTTGTTCAATACCAAATAAATAGAGTATAAATAAAATATAAATAAAAAAAATTAACTGTATATATGTGTTTAGACATAGAATTAAATTACTTTTTGCTAACACAAAATATGACGGTGCGCCACCTGGAGGAATAATTATAAATCGATATTATTTATCAGAGAAAAAGAAAACTTTTCCGTGAATGTATTTACAAAAACATACAATGTCTTTTAGATGTAATTGGAGATATATTGAATAATAACATCCCTAGGGAGAGATCTACTATCTATATATTGTTGCACTGAATTTTCTC